TTTTAATTATTTACTTTTTCTATCACTTTTTTTTAATTGTATTTATGTTCTTTTTTAATTTTTTATTTATCTCATCTTTAACTTTGTAATTTTTTCATCACCTTTTCTATTTATATTTTTACTTTTTTAAATTTGTATTAATCATCTTTAACTTTTTTATGTTTTATAATTATTTACTTTATCACTTTTTATGTTTTTCATTTTTTTTAAAACTTTTTTCTATTGCTATCACACGGAAGCAGTGCTAAATGTAGTAAAAAAAAAAAACCTGCCCAGCACCCGGAACTGCATGTCCCGGGCGACACCCCTGCCGCCCCGAGGCCAGGCCTTGGTGGCCTTGTGGGAAATCCGGCCTTGACTTTAGGATACAATGTCTTCAGGGCTTTAATCCTTTGTTAGGACAGACAGCTGTGCTCATCTAGTTTACAAGTGATAATTAAATCTGCCAGCACAGTGCAGACAGGGTTAATTGCTAGAAACAAAACTCCAGACAGTGAGACCTAAGCAGGACGTTTCCGTCCTGGAGTTTGCAGAAACATCATCGAAAAAAGGTAAGCTTCAACTTTTACATTTAAATCGTTATGCTACGTGAATGGGAACATGTAACAAATATAAAATAGGTGTTATCTGGATTTGGCTGCAAAAGTGGAAATACACTTTAAAAATAAGCCGACTTTTTCCTGCTAAATGCACGGTTTACTTTGATAACTGCCGGGATGCATAAAATGTCCCAAGATCCCGACTGCAGTTAAGGACAGAATTAACAGACGCCTTGAAACATCTCTTGCAGAAAATAATGGGAGCGCCTCCATCCTTTGGGGTGCATTAAACGTTAAGTGGCCGTCTTGTGAGCGGCAGCGGCGGAGGCTTCGCGCAGAGTGAGATGGCATCTCGTGGCAGGCTAGATAATTACGTGCTGCATTGAAGTGCTCGGTGCCGTAGAACGGCTGTTAGGTTGAGTGCACAGAGGTTAATTACAGTGCTTATCGCGGCCGTATTACACCCTTTTATCCACCTCCATAGGAAAATCCACCGCGAGTTCTCACGCCTCTGACTGCTGCCAGCCAAAAAGTAACACTTATTTTGTTTGGGAGGTGGGGGGGAATTATTCAATTTAAGATTTGCATGAATTAATTAACATCGTCACCTTTTCTAATGATAATTGTTGTTTTATTAATATGGAATGTGTGTTTTATAGCTGAGTTCTAATTAAATGTTCATTGATGCAGTTGTCTATTATTCTGTTCAATAAACATTTTGAGTAGCTGTGCGGGATTCGGGATGTTTTAATGACCTCAAGGCAAATGCTAAAACACTCCGTGTGTGTGTACACATGTATGTATGTATGTATACAAAATATATATCATATAAATATATATCTATAAAAGTGTTTGTGCAATATGGCAGCGCTTCTGTGGATTCCTGCTTTATGATGAATACTTCTTTGGAATGCTGCAACCTCTGTACTTTTTTGTGGTCTATATTACGGCTGTGTCGGGTGGTTGTTGTACTCTGGTTACCTGATCCAGGTGCGGTTCATCTCCCCCCTCTCTCTCTCTCTATCTATATTTGTTTTGCAGTCCAGTATATATGAAATATTGCATACAACTGCGGGTGGTGAGAGGAAGTTCAGAACTCCAGGGTTTTACATAGATGATTTACTGACATGCTGTACAAGATTGAATCGTAGAATCTCAGTTTATTTATAAAGATGAATAACTTAGGAGAGACACTGCCTACCTTCTCCTCTCCCTCCTTGCTTTTCTATCAAGGTGGTGCTATCTAGATCTACAGTCTGCAGAAGTAGTCAACAAGTGCATAGCTAGTGCTGGGCTTTCTTAGCCTTTCTATTTAGTATGCACAGCACAAACTGAAGCATGGAAGCACCCTGTATTAAATATCCAAGTAATACAATATTAAATTGTACACTTAAAGTTAGTTTCCCCATTGGCAGTCTCTTGTTCGAAGATATGTTAATGCATTAGATAATCATCACCTGATCTGGACTATTTCACACAGAATAGGCTTCATTTCCCATGCCTGTTGGATGATGGATTGTACTAGACAATAAATCTTGGGATTTTTTTCCACTTAAAGGTGAGGACAGTGCCACAGATGTTTGGCTGCTCTTCCTCATCTATTGTGTAGACATTAACATGCATGTTCAGATGATCTCCGAATGCATATGAGGTTGAATGAAAAAAATAGGAATAGCTAAACCCAGCTTTAGGGCAGGTTCACACCATTTTCCGGACCAGTTCTGGTCTGGAAAATGGTGTGATCCTGCCCCAATTACAATGCATTCCAGACCAAACAAAATGAGACATGCAGTATTTTTATGGTCTGGAACGGACTGCGCTGGTGTGAACAGAGGCCAGAAATAGCATAGGGATACATTAGGATGCATTTTGGGTCCAGAAACAATCTGGTCTGGTGATGATCTGGATGTGGTGTGAATGGGCCCTTACTGTTACAATCCTCTGGGTGGTCGGGTGCCATCTAATGCCTATAGTCAGCCAGAAGGTCTCTTGCCAGACAAAGAATAGTTCAGTTTGAGTTCATACATGTTTAGCAGATGTACGTGGCATAAAAGTATTCAAGCAATGATGTCACATTCATTAGGATAAAGTAGAAGCTATATTCAATATAGCCACACAGTGGAATGTCCCTTTCCAAGAATAAGTGTACAATAGATAATTAGCTTTACCCAGGTAAGTCCAGCAAGTTTGTAAACATTTTTTTCCATAGTACCTGCTGTCCCCTGAGAGGTGTGCAGGAATCCTCCACAGTTCTGCCAGTTCAGATTTAATAATTGGATGATAAAACCACCTTGAATGGTTTTAAACACAAGATATACCAAATAAAGCCTCCTTAGTTTCCCTCTGGATATTCACACACTATACTTAAAGTTCCCCCTGTCTCCTACAGGGCTCAGCAAGAGATTGGCAGTTGTGAACATGAAGGAGGATCTTGAAGATTCTATCGCTAAGGCCCCATTCACACTGAGCGACATGAAAATTGCGCGATTTTATACGTGCGATATTGCGCGACTTGTCGCGCTACGTCACGCGACTTTTTCCTATTGGGCTGCATGCAATCAGGAGAAAAATCGCTCAAAATCCGCAGAAAAAAGGGTCATGTAGGAGCGACAAGCTACAGCGACGAGCTGCAAGCGATATTGAGCGGCGAGATGTGAACAGCTCTATTGAAATGGATTGGAGAAGCTACTTTGAGCGATATCGTGTGGAAATATGAGCAATATCGCTGCAATAATCGCGCAATAAATCGCTTAGTGTGAATGGGGCCTTAGTAGTTGAACTCGAGGTTGCCCAACTCACTTTTTTGAGGATGCCCGGTGCAGACCTCCACGATCCGGGATCGTGCGGTCCTGCACAATGCAGGCAGCGATTTCCGCGTGGCCCCCATCGACGCGCGGCTGTCGAAACCGAGCACCCACAGCGCGATCGGTTCAGGCCTTGGTGACTCCTGACCGCGCGGCCATCCGCACGGAATCGTGCACGATTGCTGTGTGGTGAGGTGTCGCCTAGGTGTGCACCGGCCCTCACAGTTACATTGTTACATAGTGTTTGAAGTTGAATAAAGACACGGGTCCGCCAAGTTCAACCTATGTAAGCGTGTGTGTGTCTAATTGATTACCTGCCAACCACTGTCTCCTGGGCAAGTTTTGGCTATAGAAATAAAGATTTGAGCACTTCCAGCTGCTGGGCATGTAATTGGCAAGTTTGAGAAGCAACCTTACAATTATTCTTCTTGCGTGCCTATTGTTTGAATGCAATTCTTAGTCAATTATACAAACGTACTGCAAAGTATGACAACAATGAATATATGAACCCTGAAGACTAACAAGGCCATGTTTCATGTGCAGGTGATCCTACAAGACGTGGACTCCTTACTTTACGTAGACACAGATGTTCTGTTTTTGAGGCCTCTGGATGACGTCTGGGCCTTCCTGAAAAGATTCAACGAAAGTCAGTTGGCCGCGATGGCACCCGAGCATGAAGTCCCTAAGATTGGCTGGTACAGTCGCTTCGCTCGTCACCCGTTCTACGGTACAACTGGGGTCAACTCGGGGGTCATGCTCATGAATCTGACTCGCATCAGGAAGCAGCAGTTCAAGGTAAAACATTAAAAACAACCAAAACTGTCTGCTAAAATGTGGGAAATAAATCTGAGGTTTAAATAGCGCTTCCCGGACTGGTGTAATAATGTACCTAGAATGGATGAGTGAGCTTAATATGGCCATCTCGGAGGGGAGTAGGTTAGGGAGATCTGTCACAGTAGTAATTTAGGAATAAGGGATGAGTGTTTCGGGAGGCTTTGCAGTGGGAGCTGGTAATAATAAAATTTGTTTAGTGCAGGAATTTACATGCAAAGTATAAAATGAGGGTTTCCTGGGCGGTGGTGTGTTGGACTTTTGTTAGCTCTCTCAGATCATTAACTTATATACTGGATATACCTTTATCAAAGATACATTGGCTGTTAGGGAGAAGCTGCCCTAGATACCTCTTTCACAGCCAGGTTTGAACCTCTCTGTAGATCATTGCACTGGTCTTTGGACCTGTGATTGGCCAATAAAGTGGTGGCCAAGCTTGTGAATGGACAATAAAGTGGCGACAGCAGTACCCTGATGTTGTCACCGCTCTTCTTTCCCTCTCTTCGCTTTGTTCTTCTATCACAACGCTACCACTATTACATGGACAGCACTGTGTAAAGCACCAGAGCCTTAACTAGGTCCTAGTGCGGTCTCCATGTCTCCTAGTTCAATGCTGCAGGGAAGAGGACTGCATATCAAGACATTTAGGTACTTATATGAGCTGTATGCAAAATACATTTAACGTATATCTGAAGCCAACACATTGTTTTGGGTAGAGTAGAAATGGATGAAACCCCTGTCAAGTTTTGTTGTTGTTGTTGGCTGTGTCCTAATAAAATACATTTCCCTTCACTTCCTGTCCTGTTCAGTAGACAGAAAAAGAGAGGAAAGCTCTCTTAAGGAGAAGAATTCCTTTCTTTGATAGTGGTCACCAAAAACAGGAAACAAAACCCTGTTGGAATGTTTCCTCTATTCCTGTTCCAGTGACAATTCAACATTTCAGAACTTTAATCATTTTGACTCCTAGCAACATTGACTCTGGTTCGGCAGCTTTCTAACACAGAGGGGTCTTAGGGGTATCTTGGAGTTATTATAGGAAGGTATAAGGAAAATACCACACCGAAGGTTTAGGGAATATTAATTTCCTCATAGAAGACCAAAGATTACAAGCCAACATGTTTCAGGGGCTACAACGTTCTCCCTTCAACAGGGGATTAATACCATCCTAGCTACTACAGAGCTTTACAGGGTCCAAGTCAGGGCAATAACTACAGATCATGGGGCCCCATAGCAAAAATGTAATGCCCCCCCCCCCCATGACCTCACTCTGAGCTGTGAGTAATGATGCCAAAATCTCTATACTGTAGACTTTACTTTAAAGTTGTTGTCAACTGCAACCACTCCAACCCTTAATCATACAGTACTGTATTATCTTCACATGCTCTATGCTTAATATTCTTCAACAACCTAATGGGGCCCCCTTCCACCTCCAGGCCCCATAGCAGCCGACCGGGCTGCTGTGGCTATAGTTACGCCACTGGACCAAGTATATCATATGAATACGTACATTGGGTCAAGGTGGACCAATGTGAGTATGCAAAAGAGTTCATACCTGGAGTTCAGCTTTTAAAGTGTATCTGTGCCTGGATATATAAAATATATTCAAAATAAAAATATGCCCTCCCCAGATTAATTCCCGGGTTGCGACATTGATGTTGGATGATCTGGAGGACCTTTGCAATTACTTTGCAAGTGTCAAATGCTCATGTAATGAACACAATGCCATTTGAATTTTTAGTGATCCCAAACCTGCGAAAAAGTCGCCATCATGCTATTTTGTGCTCTCCTCAACTTGACTGTTTCTTATCTTAATGTTATGCTAGGAATTTGTGGAAACCATTTTTGTGTGTCACAAGTAGCGCCAGGGGCGTCCCGAGGCTGGGTGACACCCGGAGCAGTAACCGAGTGTCACCCCGTCATCACACGCGCGCGCCAGTATTCTGATACCTGCCGGCAGTCATATTGGTGATGGACGCCGGCAGAGAGAGGAGGGGACAGTCACCCGGCGGAATAAGGTATGCCGCCGGGTCCCCTCCTCTATCCTGATACTGTCAGGGGGGTGACTGTCAGTCATTTTGGTGTCACCCCTCCAATGGTGTCACCCGGGTGCGGGCCGCACCCCCCGCACCCCCTTTGTGATGCCACTGTGTAGCGCCAGAAGGGGAATAAAGATCTCTAAAAATAAACCGCTTACAATCACTTTGAGCTTTACCATTCTGCTACGTTACATAAAAGTCCCACTAATGTGATCTCATTTTAATCAGTGGACTTTGTTGATTTCTATTTTGGGGTAACTTTATGGGAGTGCGCAAATTATGTACAGTAAACGTTGCATTGGGAAATATATAACCGGGAAATGCACTTTTAAAAAAATACTGATTATTCCCCAAACCCAGCCGAAAATAAAAATATGTATCCGAATCTTTCCCTGGGGGAAACAAAAAGTATTATATGTTAGGGGTCGACTACAAAACCTAACGTATATCGTGTGCGAAACCCACACATCGCTGTAAAAAAAACTAAAAAATACTCTGGGACCCAAAAGTATATATGGAGTTAGTGATATTAAAGCCAAAATGTTTTTAAGCTATTTCAAATGCTGATGAAATCACTTACAATGGAAGCTGCTTCTTGATGTTTAAAAGATTTTAGTTTCCTGCAGAATCAGTTGGTCCTCTGAGCACTGGTCCTGATATCCTATGTTAGGGTGTCTCCTTTCTCTTGTAGGGTCCTATGGAGCCACCCTTGTATGGGCTAGTAAGCTGTGTGTGTCTCCACAAACGCGCAGGGATAGCAGGGCAAGCCATTAAACCCTTGAGGCAGTGCATGTGAAGCCGTGCGGAGCAAAGCTGTGAGGCACAGACCTTTGCATGCAGTGTGTGAGCTGAGCGCAGCCAGATTAAAGGACTGCATCTTCAGCCAATCGGCTCGCGCGTAACAACCCAATGGACTTCCCATCCTGATGCAATGGGTTTATACGCGTGAGCTGATTGGCTGAATATGAAATGTTTCATCCTGGCACGCTCAACTATGCGAGCTCTCGCAAAGCCGATGCGCCGGAGTGAAAATGACATGACACACTGCACGCAGAGGTCCACGCATCACCACTCCGCGCTGCTTTGTGAGCAGTGTGTCACAGGCTTCTCTCTGCTCCTTCCTCCCTCCCTCCTTCTCCATGCTACTAGATGGATGACTGTTGGAGAATGATGTGCCCCTTGTGATCTTGTACTGGACAGGAAGTGCAGGGAAGCCAAGCTAAGAGAGTTGGAGCTGTTTGGAAACATGATGACTGTAAGTGCTTGGCAAAAATGTAAAACGCTTTGCTGGGCGATGTATATTTCTTTGATCTATATTCATTTTTGAAAAAAATATATTTGAGAGTTTAATACTACTTTAAAGGCCTGGAGTCTCAAGTGGACAGGACAGGTGCACTTTAAATACACATGCCAACCTTGAGACTGGCCCACACTTCCCAATGGTGCATTCACATAAAACATCCGGCCTGTATAAGAGAGCTGAAGATTTTTAGGCAGGGGAGGGGGCAGAGGTCTTCACAGTAATCACTATAATCGAGCTGTAATTCCTAATGACATCTGCTGATGGATTATGTCCCATACACTGTAAATCACACACTGCTTAGTGCTTGTCCCCGGTGCTGCGTAGTGACAGCCACGTTCCGGATCACTGCTGTCCCCTCTCAAGGAGATGGGCAGAAACATGGATGTCTCCAGACAACAATAGGCAGACATACAGCGTTTAGCTGAGCTCTCGTTATTTATTGCGACACGCAGGATAATAGTTTCCTGATTGTGTCTGAACTGAGGAGGGGAAATAATGGTGGAAATCAGTCACAAACTCAGGTGCCATGCCTGTTCCTAAATTTAAAGGGATACAAAAATTTAAAGAGACCCCCCCCACCAACACCAAAAATTCAAGTATGTGGAAGGCTTATCACAGCCACGGTTTCCCATCCCTACTGTCATGGCCTAGCTGTTTGTGCTGGCCCAGCTCCTCTCCTCACCTCCCTACATAACCTTTTATGTAGCTGCTTTGGGGAGGAGTGAAGGGAAGTACTATAAAGTATGGGTCATTAAATGGCAAACTGCGGACCAATTGGCGGTTCCATCTGGATCGCGGTCCCTGACCTGCCCTGGGTTATGGCTGGCTGACAGTCAGTGGCGTCACTAGGGAGGTGCGGGCCACACCCGGGTGGCACCATTGGAGGGGTGACACCAAAATGACTGACATTTTGGTGTCACCGCCTCTGAAAAGTCGGGCACTTGGTCATGGACCGAGAGCCCGACAGTTGCAGGAGAGATGAGGGGAACCGGCGGCATACCCTATCCCGCCGGGTGAACGTCCCCTCATATCTCTGCCGGCGTCGATCACCAAGATGGCCGCCGGCAGGTATCACCAAGATGACCACGCATGCTCAATGACGTCATGGTGGGGTGTGACCTGGTATTAGCTCTGGGTGGCGCCCGACCCCGGGATGCCCCTGCTGACAATGGATACACCAGCCTCTTAGACCAGTGTTTCCACTTCCAGCCATAACCTAGTGCAAGCTCCCCTTCCACTTCAGTCATTAGTTGCTAGGGCCACTGGCGTCCTAGCAACCAATTACGTCAGGCAAGGCCGGCTACTACAACTACAAGGGATCTGGGTGGCTGTACAGTGTCCGGATGGAGAGCGGGAGCAGAGCGGGGAACGTCCATTCCCCGATCTGCTATGTGATTAGTGAAGCATGAAGAGCTCTCCGCGCTTCCTCCTTCAGCTGTCAGGAGCCGGCTAAACAGAAGCTGAAGCACGTTCCTGCGCTTCATCGCCTGTGTTGGAGAGCAGGAAAGAAATTAGAGGTCTAATAGACTCCTGATGTCTTCATGAAGAGAACCTTGTTAGCCCCTTTGTGATAGCAAAAGTTAAAGGGAAATTCCACTTTCCCTGGCAAATTTAGGACAATGGAATCCGCCCCCCCCCCCCCCGA